AAGCAATCTTGAATGTCAGGTTTAGACTTGTATGGAGAACAGTAGTGCCGAAGGATTTGGGGCCATCGGAAGATCCAGCAGCATGGTATAGGGATGAATTGAGAAAGCATATTAGAAAAGGAAAGCTGCTGAAGATCACTAACATGAGCCAGGATAAAGAAATGAGTGAGATAAACATAAAGGCTACCAGGTACAGAACTGGTCCGATTCCTGCGGCACAGCTTGTGAATAAAACGAAATATAATTAACCCAATGGTCTTGTGACACAGATATTACCAGAGAATTTAGTGAAATCTTCAAAGCAAAAGATATTTGTTTTTGTTTACATGCTCATTTTAGAAAATTTAGAAAGCACAGAAAGCATCAGAAAGTAAATAAAAATTATCTGTAATCCACCAGATAACTTTTATTAACTTTTAAAATATATTTGGTTATATATATATTTTTAAAGAATTGGCACTATATAGTATAAAACTTTCAAATCTGTGCTTTTCATTTAATGTTATAACATTGATAATATCTCCTCAATTAAAATGTAGTCAGAAGCTAGAAGAGACAAAATCAGATTCTCCCATACAGCCTACAGAGAGAGATTAACAATGTTGACACCTTGATTCCAGATTTCTGGTCTCCAGAACTGTGACAGAATACATTTCCTGTTGTTTTCTTTAAAAACATAATAGCTTTTAATGGCTACATAATATTCTCTTTCAGGAATTATACCATGGTTTACTTAGCAATTTCCCCATGTTAGACATAGTCTTTGTGAATTTTCACTACCAAAGTAACTCTGGAATAATCATTCCTACAAATAAATCTTTGTGCATGCTCATTATTTCATTAAGGTAACTTCTTAAAAATGAAAGTACTGAATCAAAGGGCTTAAAAATATTTTGATAATGCCAAAGTCCTCCAGAAAGCTGCACTAATTTATATCACCATAATACATAAGAGTTCCCACTTTATTGTCCCATCACCAACATTGAACGTTTTTGTCCTCAAAGCAAAAAATATGAACATACAAAAATTACATAAAAGCATCTCCAAAAAGAACCCTATCCAAACTATCCAATAAACAAACGCCATTGGAAACAAAGAAGATTGCAAGTGAGCATAAGGGTTTATCAGGGAAATTTTAAAACCACTACTGGAAAAATAACAGAACTACAGGTCATACTGACAGTAGTCTTACAGCATCATTTTACTATGAAGTCAACACATTTCCACCTAATCCTAATCTATGACTGAAATATAAATTTATTGTATTAGATTTGATTTGAAATAAGAGACTTCAGATTTGGTTAAATACAAAACGATTCTGTACTTTCCCCAAGTCATAATGTAGATTCATCTTAATGCTTGATGCAAACCTGAGGTTGCCACATCAAATTGACATGATACCCTTTCTCTGTGCTAATTATAACAATTTTCTTTATGACCCCAATATTTTGGCAAAATTACTGAGCACTTTAAAAGAAGAAGTGTGAGGTAAAGATTTCTATCAACTTCGGAAGAATTAACTTTACTGCATGATTTTTGCCCATCTTTTTAATCAATATTCCAGCACTGTCAAGATTTTTGCTTTAGCTTTAAGAACAAGAAATTTCAGTCAAAGCAACTTAAGGAGAAATAACTCTAACACCAGCACATCAACAAAATAAAACACCTTTTAAATAATTTATAATCAGCCTGAAAAGTACCCAATAACACAAATAAAAATAAAACCAAAGTACATATTTGATTTCCAAAAAAGAAATTTCTATTTTGACATTTCAGTGACCAAAAATAAATTATTTCCATCTACTACTAGGTTAAAAAAAAAGTCTCAATATTTAAAACTGATAAGACAAATATGAGTCTATTACTGATATGTTTATTAATTTTAATAAAGTCTGGTCAAGTGCAAACTGCCGAAGGTGTTTTAAGAGAATACTGCCTAGTCCAAAATTAGAGGCAAATTCTAGGAATGATTTTCTTGTAAACTGATGTAATAAATCAGCTAATGCCCTATATATAAGCCTCATAAATCTCAGATCCCTGTAAGACTTTGACAACCGTTTTTTCTCTATAGGAACAACTTGCTTAGGGACCCACATGTATAGCATACTGGAGGCCAGAAAGCCAAATGTATTCTCTTACATAGTTGGCCAGCTAAATCTTAAAATTACTTTTCCTCGAAGTTTTAAATACTATCCAAAGCAGAAGTCTATGTCCTGCCCAAGTTCTCAAAAACTTCCAAACCTAAAAAAGCTGCAAAAAGTCTCCCAAACCCTAGACTGTTCAATCCATACAGTTGGAACCAAATAAGTGTTTCTACCTTAATTTCAGAGTAAGCTTTAGAAGCTCTCAAGCAGAGCCCAAACATTCTATAAGATAAAAGGAACTCATTTAAAAAAAAAACTAGGGAAAAAAAAAAAACAACCTTGGATTCTGTAATGTGGCAGAGAAAGCCTAAATTACCCTGATGATCTATGAAATAAACTATTTTCTCTTAATGATGATTGGACTTGCTCTTCCCCATCAGTGCAATCACCACCAGAAACTACAAGAAGACACATTTTTCCTCTCATCATTATGTGTATATACATTTTATATGTGTGTGTGCTGTTACTGGAGTCCTCAGCCCAGACTTTTAAATGTGTTTAAGGACAAATTGCTGATCACTGGGTGGGCAGGAAAAGGGTCCAGTATGGTGGTTTTGTATAATGCTGAGCACATTAATGGGACTCACTGAAAACCATATTTATTTTACTTGTGGCTTTTTGAGTTAGACAAAAGAGGTTAGAAGTTTTCCAAAATCAAAACATAAACCCCAGACGGAATTAGGGCAAAATTACCTGGATCGTTCAGGCCGACTTACTTTCTTTTCCTGAAATTTTAACGGTATAAAGCTTCACTCTTTATGGTGTATTTGTTTTGCACACTCCATCTGTACAACTTGGGTTCTGAAATCTTCCTGACCGTCCCCTTATTAAAATAACAAGTGTCTTGTTAAAGCTACTGACACTAGAGCCACATGCCATTCCCACCTAAAATCAAACCGTGTCAGGGCAACAGCAGAGGTAAAAGGTAGTAACAATATTGGGATCACTCCCAATTCTACTTGGACACAACCTCACACTTCTAGTTAAAGTGACCAGGCAGGCAGACCACAGCTCAGTACTGGCGGCAGTTAGGTTGAGAAAGGTCAAGCAGAAAAATGTGACTTTTCTCTATTGAATTTTATCATGTCAAGTAGGTTATGGTTTGGGGACACTCAAACCTCTTTTGCTATATACCAAAAACAAAAAGAAAAAAGAAATCTTTGGTTTGCCTTATTAACTGTTTCCAAGTTTTCTCAGTTGGGTGAACAGAGAAAGGTGGTTTCATACAATAGTCTTACCCTTAGAAGTAAACATATTGCCAACCTAACAGAAATAGAAAGGTTTCTGAAGCAATTATTACCTTGATGTTAGGCGAATTAGTTAAATACAGCAATTCATAAAAAAGGCAAACTTGTCATTGTTTCTTAAATTGCATTTTAGTGGTAGAGAAAATAAATAGCAAAGAAGCCAACGAGGTTCTAGAAAAAAGTGGAACTTGTAGTTTAAGTCTTCATCTCTTTGAAAAAGGAAATGTCAATAGTATTCCTTCCCTTGCGGCTAAAACAAAAGGCATATAAATAACGCTTTTCAAAATATAGTTTATAACAAAAAACGGCAAGTTCCTCCGGGGAGAAGGCAATTTTTGGCTTACTGCAAGTCATCTAGATTGCACTACCACACAACTGTTTAAAATCTTGTATTAATTTTGCAGGAGACTTCTTAGGTCTCCATCTTCCCAATTTACAAGAGGACAAAGTGCTGAGGGCTTATATGTATTAATTAAATCCTCTGCAAAGTTAGTTTCACTATCAGAATTTAGCTTGCACATAACACAGAATTCCAATAATAATCTCGATATCCCAACCGCTTTAGAATCAGCTTACCATTCTGTTAACTTTATATGTTAGGATGCAATACTTGTAAGAATGTTTTATAGGTCATACCTAGATGCATACTTTCTTGCATCTACACACTCTAAAATTCCTTTTAGAATGTTTAAGAACTCAACCAGGTGGGATCTTAAAAAGTAGGAGAAAACTATTCTTTCTTGGACTCCAGATAATAAACCTGCAGGAACAGAGCCATTTAATAAGATGCCACAAATATCCTAATTATGGAATTTTGAAACGTGTTTTCAGGAGTTCCCTCCGACACTTACTGAATTGTTTCTACCATAGGAACGCTTCGCAGCCGCAACATTTTTATCCTTATTACGGACGCACCCTTGGAAGTCAAAGTCCTACTAAAATGGGCTCGATGATCATTTGGTGAACTGTAAAGTTTTAAGCTCGTATTCTGCTCCCCACGTCGCATCGCCCTAAATTTATAAAACCTAATCACCCAGGTTCAGGGTCTTTGACTCATCAGAGAAGAATGCGGCTGAGGAGTTATCTATTAATCCAAAATGCCTCAGCTGGAAACATATTTCACTAAGAACTTAGAAAGTTGAAAGGGAGGGGGCAGGGAACAGAAGATATCCTCTAAGACGAACTTTCCCTGATTTCTTCCTTAAACCACATGCATTCCCCCCCGCCCCACCACCACCACCACACACGCACACACAACTTCCAGCGCCGGACACAGAACTAAGTCCTGACCCTGTGGGTCCCAATAATCTGAGGTCACCCAGGAGTCAGCTCTCGATTCCGCTTTTAAAATCTCAGGCAAACAAAGCTGAGCATTATACTTTCAAAAGTCTCCGAAAAGTCCTCAAGTTACGCAATTTTAGGCACGCACCCACAAAAACACACTCTCCGAAGATACACCCTGCCGGGGCTACAGTCTGGGGCAATTCCCAGCCCCTAGACTGCGGCGCCCCGGGACCAGCGCCCGCGCCCGGCCGGCCGCCCGCACTTGGGGGGAAAGCGCGGCTTGGGTCCCGGGTCGCACCCGCCACCGCACAGAGCCACTCAGTACCTCTTCCTCCTGAAGGTTGGCCTCGTTCGGGGTGTTCTCCTTCTCGGCTTTGACGCCGTTGTTCATCTTCCCGGTCCTCCCTCGCCGGGCAGGGCTGGGCGCGGGGCTGGGCGAGGGCGCGCTCGCCCACTGTTCCCTTCCCCGGGCGCGGCGGCTGCGGCCGGGGCAGCGGCGTCTCGACTTCGGGCTCCGGGCGACTCAGGAAGTGCGCGAGACCCGGCAGGGCGAGGCGAGGCGCGGGCGGGCTGAGGAGGGGACGGAGACAATCGGGACCCGGGCGCGAGACCTGGACAGGGAGGCGGGCTCGAGGGAAGGAAGAAAGGATGGGGCGAGGACGCGCGTCCCAGGAGTGACCCCAGAGAGTTGGGGATGGGGCCGGGTAGGGGCTGGGGGCGGCCGCAGCTCGAGCCCAGCAGCTGCTGAGGGAGGGGGCGAGGGGCGCCCGGAGAGGCGGAGGCGGAGCAGCGGGGCGCGGGGCGCGGCTGGGACACGGGGACCGGCAGAGTCGCCGAGTGCGCGCTCCTGGCAGGCTCTGGGAAGTCCGGGATCCGAGCAGCGCCCTTTCTCTCGCCTTCCTCCCTCCCCGCTCCCCGCTCCCCTCCCTCGCCTCCTCCCTCCGCCCTCCCTGGACGTGGACTGCAGCCTGTCGCCGGCAGGAACGGGACGCGACCGCGAAGCCCCCGCGGGAGGAGGGGCGGCGCCGAGGGCAGCTGCCCCGCGGCCCAAAGCCGTGCGCGGGAGAGGGACCCCGGGCGGAAGCGGCTGACCCCCGCCCCCGACTCCCCTGGAGGTCGGAGGGCTGGGGCCGCGGAAGGAGGGGAGGTCAGGCTCTCCCGGGTGCCCTGCCCCTGGGGGCCCTGCCGGCTGTGCGGGGCCCGAGTGGGCGAACTGGTGCTCGTGAGCTTGGAGGAGCCAGGCCCTGCCAGTGTGACCACCGAAAGGTGTGATGTGTTACTTTGGTTCGGTGGCTTCTCCCGAGGGATTTACACCCACATCCCTAAGCCTGTCCCTCCTTTTCTGTACCGGGTTACACCCATTTCTCCCCGTCTAGTTGACAGCTGAAGATGACAGGATGCAAGAACTCCAGTGACATCCGGGGACAGCCCGCGCCGGGCGGGCGTTCTCAGGGCGCTGCTTCGAGCCCACCTCAGATGCTACCGGGTCCTCCAAAACCCCTCCAGTGTCCCCGCAACGGCCGCCTTGCTCTCCGCTAGGCTCCCCGGGGCCCCTGCTCAGACTCCTCTCACAGTCCTTATCAGATTGTTCTGGAATTATGTTTACCTGGCTGTCTTTCTCACTCTTTTGAGAGATCCTCCCTGGAAGACAAGACCGTACCTTTTTAATCCCACGGCTTCTTAAATACTCTACCTGGTATATTAGTAGACGCTCGAGAAATATTTGTTGGCTAAAGCAACATTCCCTACTCCACGCCGAAGTGGAGGCCAATACAGGTCAACTGCAGAGGGTCAAAGCAGCTTAAAGGAGAAAGGGGCTAGGCATTCTGGGAGGTCAGCGCATGATGCCTTATGCACCAACCACGCAAGGACCACGTGCTTTCCTTTCCTCACCTGTGAAATAGGAGTAGTTTTATTTATCCCCCAGGAGTTTGCTATTAGAGGAGATTATAGTTTGATAGAGCCATAGCACCTAGCACCTGTTCTAAGTTTAAATTTACGATATATGGAACCTAACATTATTAAGATAATTTCCACTTTTCTCGCGCCATAGAGAGCTTTTCCAATACTGTATTATTTAAACTTTCAAACGTGACTGCTGCAAGCACATAAACTTTCCCTCACTTTCCACCTCCAGGAATTCTCTCTCCCAGCACAGCACCAATCACCATTTCTATTTATTTATTTGCCTGCTCACTGTTTATCTCTTTTTCCCCTCCCTCACCCCACTAGACATTCTTTACCCTATACAGGTTTAAGTGCTGCCGGGTATGGGTGAGGGTGGCAGTGGGAATTGATGATAAGGCTTCCGCTGTTAGGGAGTTTAAAGTGGTGTTGTGGAGACAAGATACCCAAAACAACTCCACGGTAACGGAATCTCAGATCTTGGTTCAAATTGTGGAAAGCAAAGAAAATATCTGCCTTAAGAGCATTAGGAAGAGAAAAACAGTAGTGATACTTGAATTTCACATTGGATTTTTCTTAGAGTTTAGGGGAGTCTGAAGATTTTGATAAAGAGATTTAATTGCTGTCATGTTGCCATTTCTCCCTGTGAGGGGAAAAAATGTATCCTGGATGAAAATAAACACAGAGTCTATTGAAATTGCAGCTGAAGTTCAGAAGAGGCAAGGGCTGCAATTAATCTGGAAACTTGGACAGCTGTTTCCACTTCCAGTTCCTCTCTTGGTTATATGAGGAACCACAAGGGGGCAATGTCTTCCTGAGCAATGGCTAAGTGGTGGTCTTGGGCCCCTGTGCTGACCAACAATGCCAGCACTTTACCCTCCTTGGCCTTTCTTGCCTGTTGCTGAGTACACGTCACAGAAAAGCATTGTCTTGCTGGAGTCTGGCAAAGGCCCAAGAAAAATGACAGTTGAACTAGTCATTGATGATGGTTCCAGTCAGACTCCACTTTTAAGTAGGTGGAAAATGCGTGATTCCAGGATTCTGGGAGAACTTCCCTCACCCCCACCCAGGGAAATGTGGCTTAATTCCACAAGTCAGCACTTTGTCCATTGTTAAAAGTCAAAAACCTCTAGGATAAAAAATAATAATAAAAGAATAAGTTTCATGACTGGAATCTTGTCTAAATTGTTCATTATTGTGTTCCCAACACCTAGATAGTGCATAACACACAGTAGGCACTCACTGATTATTTTTGAATGCATGAACGCACTGTCTTATCAGTTTTGATTCTCAGGCTCGAATGACATTATCAGATCCTCCCAAGACCCTGCAGGAAGGACTGAATAAGTAGAGGCATCTCAGCATGGAGAGCCACCACAAGGGCACTAGGCAGATTCGTGGTAGCAGTCGTTAGTCACTATTTTGCAGAGGGGAGACCCTAGATAGCTTGTGCAGAATGGGACAACTGATGAGATTTCAAGAAATAAAAAATAAAATCACACTGCTCAGCACAAGGGCCCAAGACCACCAGTCAATAGACACATCGGACGGTTGACAACAAAGCAGGGAAATCTAGAATATAGTCAGTGGCGAGATTGAAATTCAGGTGTTTTCAGAAAAAGTGTATGGGGATGGGGTAATATGCCAGTAAAAGTAAAATTTTGTCCTTTTATTAAGGATGGTTTAGACTTATTTGAAAGAACAATAGAGTCATGTTGCCAACAAAACTCAATGAAAACCTGTAAATTTAGCTATTTATAAAAACATGTTTTTGTGGGAAAAGTGTGTGTATCTGTGAAGGCAGAGGGGGGGAATGTACGTTCATTCAGGATATAAATGATCTTTATGACCTGTTTACTACATCAAAGAAAGTTTCTAAAGTGAGATATCCTCAGTAGCAATAGTTTCCAGACGCACCAAGAATTATAAGACAACAAAGGGATTTTATATCCTAGAAAAACAGGACTAATGACTAAGAAACATCTGCTTTCTTTCCTGCCCGCCACCCTACCACATTGCTTCTGGCTTACCAGGTTACATGCTAGATTGATAAGAAAATATTCTATGCACCTATAGTTTTTTTTACTCATTCTATATCTCTGTGTTCATTTTGAGATGTGCTTTAAGAAATCCAGACCTATAATTGTGTCTTAAATGTTTGTCTCTGATAATTACAGACGTTAAAAGTCTATTTTGAGGCATGGACTTTGTACCTATGTTAGCACTGCAGCAGACGGCTGCAGTATCTATCACATGTGTTGTGATTGTTAGCTCTTCTGCATCTTCCGCTGGACCTAAAATGTGTTTGAGGCCAGAAGTTGTTTTTTGGTTTTTGTCATCCTTAATATTTCTTTCTCTTCTACCCACTCCCACCCGTCTCCAGGCCATCATAATCTTCCCCTGAGTTTATTTATTACTTTTTAACTGTGGCTAAAAATCACACAACACAGTATATACCATCTTAGCCATTTTTAAGTGTATGGTTCAGTAGTGTGAAGTATATTTACAATGTTATACAACATCCTCCTGATCTTTACCTTCTAAATACTTCTGAGATTCAATCACTTCCCTCCAATTATTTGTGAAAGCTCACACAACCACGTAGAGAGGCTCATGTGGGAGAGAATTACAGCCCCAGCTGAGTGTTCAGTGGACAGCCGGAACCAATTGTTAGCCTTGTGAGGGAGTAATCTTGGAAGTGGATAATCTAGCCCTAGTTTGGCCCCAGCTGACGCCACATGAAAGAGAGATGAGCTGTCTTCACTGAGTTGAGCCCAAACTGCAAAATTGTTAGCAAAAAAGTGAATGCTGTTGTTTTAAAACACTAAGTTCTTGGATGGTTTGTTTTATAGCAATAGATAATTGAAACATATTTGCCTACCTAGACATGAGATTCTGTTGTCACAGAAACCTAAATCTGTGGCAGTGGCTTTGGGATCAGGTGGAGGTTAGAAGCTAGCAGAACTTTGAGGAATCTGCTAGTGAAGAGCATTATTAAAGGACAGTGAAAGTATTGCTATCACAGACTGGAGAAATGGGAACCCCATTTATATACTGGAAGAAGAATTAGCTAAATTAACTCTTTGTTACATGAAAGAAAAGATACCTAATGAACATGTGGATCTGGCTAAGGAGATAGTTGGATAGAATGTTGAAAAGGTTGAATGGCTTCTTTTAGATACTTATGATATAGTACAAGATACATGACATGAGCTGAAAAAAGGAACTGTTCCATTTTCAATCAGAATTTAGAGGAAACAAAGAAGCCAGGACTTACTGGATTTGAAATAAAACTAGTTGTCATTCCTAGCTTCTCCAGAGGACAAAACTCTCAAAATAAGAAATGGCCTAATGGCAAAGGTCAAATCCAAGGTGACATTATGAAAATATAGCCTTAGGTGAAGTTCAAGACGAGGGTGTAGCTACAAGACCCTGTAGTAGAAAGCCTCTATGATGACCCCCAATGATCCCTACCTCCTGGTACTCAAGCCCTTGTGTAATCCCCTCCCCCTGAATGTGAGCTGGAACTAATGTCTTGCTTTTAATGAATAGAGCATGGCAAAAGTGATGGATATTACTACCAGGTTAGATTACTACCAGATTAGAGACCATGGTTCCCAACTTACATACCTTCTCTTGCTCTCTCACGTGCTGCCTTTGATGGAAGCCACCTGTTATGATGTGAGCTGCCCTATGGAGAGGCCTATGTAACAAGAAACAGTGGAGGCTTCCATCCAAGAGCCAGAAAGGAACTGTGCCTTTCAGTCCAGCAACCCACAAGGAAATGAATCCTGCCAACAATCATGTGAGTAAGCTTAGAAGTGAATCTCCCCTAAGTGCAGCCTTAGAGAGACTTATTATGGACCAAAGGTTAAAATCTCTCCAAAATTCATATTATGAAGCACTACTTCCAATGCAATGCTATTAGGGCCTTTGGGAAGTAATAAGGTTTAGATGAAGTCATGAGGGTGGATCCCCCATGATGAGATTAGTGCCCTTATAAGAAAAGAAAAACACCAAAGCTTCTTCTTTCTACCATGTGAGGATACAATGAGAAGGTGGCCATCCACAAAGCGGGAAGATGGCCCTCAGCAAGAACCAAACTGGCTGGCACCTTGATTCAGGACTTCCCAACCTCTAGAACTATGAGACATAACTGTCTGTTGTTTAAGCCATCTGGTCTATGATATTTCATTAATGGTAGCCTGAGTCAACTAAAACAAGACTATAGCCTGGCTGATAATCTTGACTGCAGTCTTCGAGAGACCTTGAGGAAGGGGGACCCAGCTAAGCA